TTAGGGTGTAAAGAGTTTAAATGTCTAAGAAAATCTGCTAGGGATTCTTGACCATGAGGCCCAATAACAAAAGTATCATCGACATAGCGTTCCCATAATTTTGGTTTTAGATGGAAGCTGTCGACGGCTTTCTTTTCAAAGGCGAATCGAGAGCCCATAGCTGTTCCCGTCGTTTGTTCAAAAATTTGACCGTTATATGAAAAATATGTTCCAGACAAGCATTTTTCAATTAAGGTGAAGCGGTTTGGTTCCAGATTCTCGGATTTTAGTATATCTGAAATGATGTTGAGAGTTTCAGGAGTAGGGACTAAAGTGATACTTTTTAATTGTTCAACGAAGTGAAAAAATTAAGTACGCAACTATCAGTTTAAATCATTTTATTCATTAATCATAACATATAGTTCAACTTATTGGATTGCGTTATAATAGTGATTTTGAATTCACTGTGCAATTTAATTGCGAATTTTGTCACATGTTATAAATTTATAAAAAATATTATTGGACAAAATTTTTATTTCTTTCTGGATAAATATAGTTTTATATAAGGATTATTTTTTTATGAAAAGTAGTAATAAGTGGTTTCTCCTTATTGATCCAGTTTAATTATAGTTAAATCCCGCCATCTTGCGGGTCCAAAGGTCATTAATTATATAAATCAAATCAGAAAACGTAGAGACTAATAAAAAGTTTTGCAACATACCCAAAGAAAAAATATTGATTATTTTGGAAACATAATTAATAATAAATTCAATTTTATCTTATTTACTTAATTATTTCAAAGAATAAAAAGAATATAAAATTTGCCAGAAGCTGTAGTGAAAATAGTGGGAGTCAGTTTAAAATCTGCAATTTTTATATTGATACTAAAAATTGTAAAACAAAAAAAAAACAGCCATAACTTAAAACTTTTTAAAACTGCTTAAAATTGTAGGCTTATCGTTTTTTTTGCATGTCAAGATTGTATACTTCTGTCTTATTGATCTGAGAAGCAAGTGTTACATTTTGGTCAAATCCCATGTAGAGCCCATAGCAATCGTTAGCGACTGCAAAATCGTGAAACCACAAAGCAGGAGACGTTTTAAAATGTCTGCAGCGACGTCGCGTTCATTTCTGTCACGAACTGACTCATTTCTGCCGGCGCGGGACTATTGCTAATGAAAAGTCTTCCGCGTATCTCTTTCACACACAATGGCTTTTGTTTCCCATTCCGACTCTATTTGTCCGTAATTTCCCGCAGTTTCCGCCGTTTTGATTCCAGACATGAGCCTTGCGACCGGGTTTGCATTACGGGGTATACCAAAACGAAAGATATACGTCGATCTGATTACGTGGTATGTCACGACGCTAAATATGCTGTTTTCGCCAGAAAACGGTGGTTTTTGGTTGACAACTGGAGGTTAGAGGTATTTTTGGATATAGAAACTGTTGTAAAAGTTTATTTTAACCCGCGGTTGTGAAATTTTCGTACTGTTATGCAAAGATGCCGTTTGCTCATTACTCTCGATACTCTTTGGAGACTTGAAAAATGATATAATATTTTGAATAGCACATGCAGTTTCTGAGCTATCACAATCGAAAATTGAATAATTGGCGATTTTCTAAATGTACCACATCTACTTTAATGTGAAAGATATTTTGATTTTGCAAAACTTTTTTCTACTCCCTTCTGTAAAATTCCAAACATCTTCGGACATTTCCGGGATATTACCGCACGGGTTTGGGAGCAGTCGGATGTTTTCCAAGATAATGCAGCGATCATAACTCAATAACTTAAAGTGCTCTTTATTTTATATAGATCGGTTTTTATTTTCTGGTAGACGAATAAAAAGCAGCGGTATGACGTCACAATTATTCCCGCGCGGAATAACCCGGTGTCACAACGTCATGTATTTATTTCAACTTAAATAATGGGTTTTGATTTTTGATATTTGGTATGCGTTATTCTATACAAAAACAAATATATTAAACTTTAATTAGGATGACCATAGATTTTTCTCTACTCCCGTCTCTAAAAAATGCCTAATTACACACCGATCTAGCGTGCGGGAAGCGTCACTTTACCGCGTCAGTTTCGTTTTCCACGGATCCTGGCCACTTCGGACATTTCCGGGATTTTACCGCTCGGGTTTGGGAGCAATCGAATGTTTTCGGAGGTATTTCCCACGCCTTGAATTTTGACGTTTTCCAATTCTGACGGTCATATCAGTGAATGTATTCGCCTTGTTTTGCAAAAATGTACCCAAAAACTAACGGTCGTAGAAAAAGTATGCAATACGTTTGGTAAAGTTTTTAAATAACTCGTTTATTAAACCCGCTGCGCTCCACTCGTGCCAAATAAACTCGTGACTCAAATTCCGTTTACCACACTTATTGCATAATATACTACTGCATTCCAACTGTTTAACAAAATGAAAACAATTTATATTCTAGATGCTCTTATGATGGTTTAAGAATATTAAAGTAAAGATTTATAAGCTAACAATAAGTTTTTTAAAATTAGAAAAATTATATTTTTGGACGATATGTTAATATAAGTAATAATAAAGTATCATTTTATGACTGGAATTTCAGAAACCATAACATATTAAAGATGTCAATGGCATCGCATTACCAAAACTCGAAAAGCTAATATTTTTAGGAAATGAAGTTTAAATTTAAATTAGTTCCTTACGAGTATAAATTAAACAAAAAAATATAATATGACTCTAGTGAAAACGAGTCGAAACCATGATTTCAAGTTTTTAATGTCCCTATCAGTTTTATTCATGTTAACAACTTCCAATGAAAAAGTCTTTCCAAAATCAAAATATCATTCATTGTTAAGATAGACAAGTTATATTTTAAAAGTGGCCAATTTTTTTATTTTCTCTTGTAGCTCAGATGAGACAGGCGCTATTTAAAATATGATTTTATACAGTTCGGGAAGTCTCATAAAACAGAATCTTCACATCACCATACATTGTCTTTATATTTCATTAGTACTTTGCCAAAGTTTTCCTTGTAGGTGCAATAATCGGGTTACCATGTTTAATATATTACTTAACGAGTGAAACGAAATTTTTTATATATATGTAGAGAAAAATGGGGCTGACAACACCATCCTATGTCGCCGGATATACAAAAAAAATCAAGCTAGCCTGTTAAATGGGATTAAGCAGTTAAAGAAAGATAATTGTTGAAGTATTCCCTTCCACGATGTAAGGATAAATCCGGTTATAACAAGAGATGAGAAACCAAAGTTGCTCTTCTCGAGTCGAAGGGCTCTTTGTCATCAAGCAATGTGGTATGATAGCTCTATCAGTTGCTGCCGGTAATAACGTGCACATCATAAAGTACGTCGTCTGGGAGCTTTATCGCCCCCAGAAGGTTCGGTAAATACCGGTAATTTCTAAAGCAATTAATAACTGTCGGAGCACGTACAATAGCGCCGCAATACGGCTCTAGCTCTATGTATGGCACGTCGTTATCTGACGCGAAACGGCCCGGTCAATAACCTCGCCACAATTCGCTCATATTTTTGTTGAGATACCTAATAAACTCACTTAAGTAAAACGTATCCCAACAAGGTTTCATTAATTTTTTACTTCTACTTATAAAAACTAATTTTTCCAGTGGAAAACATATATCCAATTATAACGCATTCACCATGGTGTCAAGAAAACATTACGAAATTATCCTAGTTAATCATTTGCAAATGCCTACATATATGTGTTAAGCACGCGATATACTCTCACACCCAAATATAATTAAATGGAATTTTCTAGTCTTTTATGTGATTAAATGTCGTATAATTTATTTTGTATGCTTCCTTGTATCAAATACAATAATAATATACTGAATACTCACTACGTAACTGAATTTTTTGTCTCACACACAACGGCAAAGGCTTATTTTGATCATGTTTCACAGTACCAGCCCTTTATTGCATTCCTCTAAGATTACCCTCCCATTACAAACCCAATCCAGCATACCATACAGGACCGGATTCGCCATAAAAACCTAATCTTGAAGAAATAACACTTTACTATTGCCAAATTATTTTAATTTTTAATTTTTAATTAATTATTAAATTAAAATTAATTTTAATTAATTAATAATTAATTTTAATGGATGGCCATTTTCATATATAAGAGACAAGACAGATCGTCTTCCATTGTGGCAGTTATCTATTGGTGACCATACCAGCGAGCCATAGTCAAGCTTGGCCCTAACGTAACAGTTAAATAACAAATTGACAGTAGCTGAGCTACAAAAATGTTTGTAATTTCTCATTACAAATCCTAAAATTTGCATTGCACTGGAAATGTAATGTAAGGACAAAAGAGAACGTCTGGTCAAATAAAATCCCCAGATCCTTGACAGTGGTAAGTCTAGTCAGGATAGTACCATCATATTGTAATTAAAGACTATATGAGTTTTTGTGCGGTGGTAAGAAATCACATTACACTTGCTGCTGTAAGATGTTTAGTACACCACTGACTGACAATATTGATGTCCTGGAGAGTCATGCAGTCCGTGCCGGTTTCAATGCATTCAAATAGTTTAAGGTCATCCGTATACACAAGACTGTGGCAGATGATCAAAGATACGAGATCGTCTATAAATATATCCATAGATCTATTGATATTAGTATTCTGAGATATTTTGTGACACATCCAAAGTTTTTATTATTTGCTTGACGAATGTGATTATATGCTAAGGGACACAAGTGCGAACATGTTTTCAAAAATACTAAACAAAAGTATTTAAAAAAATCAAATTTACAAAATCCATTCAAAAAAATATTCTGCATAAAGTCACTTCAAGCTTTTAATGGTCTTAACAATAAAATAACCATTAAAAAGAGCATTGAGCAGATAGTCCGCATCTGGAAACCGATTTCTGACACAAAACCCTTATCTTTTATAATAACAAAACCCGAGTGGCGGGAGAGGGGATGGTCGCGTACCCGTAGGCAAAAAGATTGTCCTACTCATGCGACTCATAATAGTCACTGCGATTCGAACGGTAGACTATTGCGTTCGTACCCGTTTAATCTCGCATAGCCTCGCTACGATGGCGTATAGTAAACAAATAGCGTGCGCTTTTAAAAACATTTGAAACAGTTGAGAATCGGTGGCGTCTGCGAAAAATCGTCCGCCGGTGAAAGTCGTCTGAAGGAAAACGCAATTTTTTGCCGTCTATAGTTTCTTGCATCGGTGGAAACTGATCGGAAGTTTGTAAAAGATATGCGGTCTAGACGTTTTGTCCCTTTGAGGAAAAGCGACGGCGCCGCGCGCGTGTGAATGAGACCGTTTTGTGAATAATGTTAATTGCCACGCCGTATAGGGACTTCGATGTCAGAGATAAAAGTCCGCCCAAGGTGATTTCGGAGGTGCGGAAGACCTATCTGAACTGCAGTGCCGGGCAGAATTTGAGACCCAGATTGACAGGTAATAAGTAAAGAAATGAGAACTTGCAAAATTTTATCAGACACTATACTTTCTTTCCTATAAGCACAAGGAGATTGAATACACTAGATATTATATCCACAATTATTCTGGTATTCAAAATGTTACTAACAAAATAACTCTGTTTGAATATCACTAGATTTGACCAATTTCATCAACAGTCTGTAGTCCCTATCGATGATACCCTCTGCTTTAATAAAAACTCGATATGAGACTGATAACTGGATTCAAATGATCTTAAGTGATCGATAACTCACGCTATAACCATACTGCAGTCTGCAAGCAATCTCAAGATGCCTTTTAGAAGGGCAACTACATCTGTAACTCTATAAATTAATACTACGGAATTATCAAGGACTTAATATAAATAACTCACTTTCTTTAGAGAAATTTTACACTGAAAGCATTTTTAATTTTATAAAAAGAGAGAAAGAGGAAATTATGCGTGGGTTCCAAGTGTGAAAACGAATGTGTAGACACAGTTTTTCTGGATTTTTGGATCAAATTGGTTAGTCGCGTCATCCATCAGATGACTCCGGCCTTAATGTATTATACTCGGGTTCACTTAAGAAATAATTTTGGAACCAGGAAAGAGTCTATTTTTTTTATTAGTTAACATTTTTGGTCCAGAATTTAGCCATGCCAAACTAGTATATACTGACCCAGTTGTAACATTACGTAATCCAAACATTAATAGCTCTGGGACAACTAACTACCACTAAAAACTATAAAGGTGCTTTAAGGCAGTATTGTAGAATTATATTTTCGTTATTCTTTTGTCTGTTGTTAGTGTGGATTACCTATTCTTTGCTGCAATACTTCCAAATTTTTTTTTTAAGCGACAAAGTGTTTTGTATTTTCTTGAATTCCACATAAAAAAATAATAAATATATAGGTGAGTTTGAGAGTTCAACAATCGGAGAGCAGTACTGGTACAGTCCCACGCACATGTCCAATACAAGATATAGATGGTGACTTCGGTCCGATGAATCATAATAGGCCCCTTTACTTTCCTGATAAAGTTTTTTTGTTGCGGTTGGTCCTGTTATTAACATTGATATTCTTTATATTTTATTTATAACTTTTTCAAATTACTAAAAATGTTATTTAAGGAATTTGCAGTGGGAAGAAATTAATAAATGCCATCGAAAGTTTCCAAGTAGTCAGAGTTTTTAATTTGGCTCTACCAACTCTGTCGAAAACAAATAGCAACGTCCTGTATAATCCCATCATCCTCTGTCGGGTCAAATATACCATGTAATTTGCATTTCCGACTTGGATTCTTTGTCATTGGCAGCACACTTTCGCGAAACTGCATTCAATTGCTTATTATTACAAATCGTTCTTGTCGTCATTGTTTAGTAGCCCGGTAATATTTAAATCGCACAAGTAGAACGCTTGCATAGTAGAAAGTTGACTCGGAGGCCGACAGTTACCGACCTTGAACTTGTACGTATGTCCAGGAAGCTATTCGAATTTGGATTTCAGATAGTTAATTCACCAACCACCTCAAGACATTTTTAGATTGCGAAATAGTGCGGTCACAATCCCGTTATTAAATGACGTTCAAGGTCGTCTAAAAGTATCGTTAGTTAAATTGCCATTTTAGGATTCGGATTTTAATTTGATTAGACAAGGCCCATCTCTCTAATTTCTCCAATTATCAGCCACCATTTCTCTGTTGTCTTCAGCATTACAAAAACAAATTGGGACTTGACACTAATAAAATTAATTCTGCTTATTATTTGCCAGGAAATTCAGTATATGTTGTTCTTTTGATTCGATCTTATTAGTTGTCCGTTTCATTTCAGGACTAACCTTTTTTCAATATCCGTTGGAACCTCCAGCCCATCTTGAAACGAAACCAAATTTCCATTTTCTAACCAATTCTATTCTACCAAAACTATTTTAATAATTTTATCATATCTTACAAAATGACAAGTAATACTTTCTCTATTGGCCGTATAGGGGGTGGCCTTAATAGAATAAATAGAATATGATAAAAAAATATATATTTATATTAATATAGCATTTCACGAGGCACTTCATTCGTATAGTTTTTTATTGTCCATTGCAGAGAACACTCTGGTTAGAAATAAATGCAACCGGGTATAAAGTTATTAAAAACATACTTCCTTAAATTATTGTTAGTAACGCTTTCCAAGCAATTGGTGTTACTCGTTAGGTTAATTGTTTACTTTACTGTACATACTTGGTGAGCTTAGACAGTCAGAAGAGGCCCAATTAGTATATCTGGGACGCCTTTTTTTCCAAGATTGAATTCTCGCGGTGCTTGCGTCCTCTTTGAAGCTCGGACCTAAACCCAATAGACGAATTCATTCTTCCCACCGTCTACGGTGTTGCTCGTAACGGGCGCGGTAGGTACTTTATCATTTTTATCACCCTAACGTCATAATTTCACGATGAGATTATATGCGGGCATACCGCTTTAACTGACCTTTTTAGATACCGACCCTTAATTTCATACTGCTACCTACTGCGTCTGCGAAACGACTGCCTGTAAAGTTTCCCAAAATATAAATCGATATGTTAGTTTTATAATATTTTAGTATTGGTAGAATCGTTTAGTCTGTCTGTTTATAAAAAATTACTTAGTCCTTAGGGCGCCGATTTTAAACGCAACAATGTCGTTTCCGGCGTTTCCACTTATTATTCGTCGTAATTTACTGCCCCGTTAATATACGTTTCTTGGTAGATTCGTTTTAAATCTAAACTTTTTTTCTTCGCGCTAGACGCAGCGCAGAAGCGAAACTCCCATTTTATCGCCTTTCCCGCGCAGTTAACCTAGAAATTGTCCGTCGCTGAAGGAAGCCGAACCGGTACCCCCGGTCATATGGGTTTTGCTACGAAAGGAACTCGCACCATTACCGTACCGCTAATGGCTATTTTTCATCGAGCATTTTTACTTTTACAATCACTCTCTCTACTTAAAATGTTTCAAACGTCTTATCGTTGAAAAAATATTTTAAGTTTGCAAGCTGCGACAAAAAAAAAACAATTCAGTTTTCATATCTCAACTTAATTAAGCGTCGAAATGGCTAAGTGTTACTTCATAACTCGGTGCAAATATAGCCTAAATGCATATTGTGTTTGGCTTATGGTCATTACGTATTCCCTCAAAAATCAGTTTTAAATTATAGTTCCACCACCATCCACCGTCATTAAGTGTAAGTATATAAGCACAAGAAAAGTTATTTAGCCATCAAACGAAAATAAAAGTATATCGCTCGTTATAATAAAATTTAATAAGCGCCTGTAGCGGAGAAAAAGTTACAATAACAATAATAGCAATCTGCTCCTTTAGGCAACGTTTCTATTTCGTAATTAAATAATTTACCGCCGATGCCGCAATAATGCGAGTTTGTAATTTGAAACATTATTTTACAACTTTAGACGCTTCATCGTATTTCCACGATCCGTATTGTTTATTTCCCTCGCAAAATAGAGTCCTTAAGAAGCAATGGTTTTTAATTTAATTTTAGTTAATAGGTTTTACGTTAAAATTAAACGGAAAATGAATGTATTTTTACTTTTTCCTTCGTAAACTAAACGGTACCTGCATCCAAGCTTATATCACCTCTAACACCGTTTTAATCGTATAAATCCGTAATATTGATAGGTCGCGAATATTTTTCGTCATTTGAAAGGAAAAAATTCCTGAGAAACGAAAATGTTTTAGTAAAACCATAAATCATCGTTGATAAGATGGAACGTAATGACTCAGATTCCCAGTAGCCAACGTCTTAGATACGCATGCACTTGTCGCCGTTGATAATGAGGATGATTTACAAATGACAAACAAATATTGTTGGGTTGCGAGAGTGCCTTTACAAATTTTACCGGCGCTAGAGACGTCTGCTGTCCGACATTCTTACGGATAATAAACCTAAGGATATCCGGTTGTAAAACGAAAAATGGGAGAGATTTTTCATATAATTTCAACTTCCCTGACTGCTTTCTGCCTTTTCTGTGACCGTAATCCGGCTAGACGTGCCGCAGCGTGAACCATTACCTCTAAATCTAATTTATAGGGATATGTTCCCCCATCAAGAAAAAAAATTTACACACGATTTCATTCTTCGAATGTCCCGTATTTGGTTAATATGAGTCGGGCTTCCCCGGGGTGGTTTTGTTGCCCCTTTCAAAATACTTACGTCCCTTCCGCGTTCGTACAACCACCGAGATTCCTGAAGTGCCTATTTAAACCGTAAAAAGAAATTCAAAAAGCGACGACTCCATGTAATTAGTATAAGATGATTGTTGGCTGAAGGTGACGGCATACGATCGACCAATACAAAACTTCTTTTTGTTACTTATTAACAATCGTTTCGAGCATTCTAAATTTAATTGAAGGTTTTACAACAACAGGAAGGGATTGTTGAGGTAACAAATTAGCCGCTGCATTATTTAATTAACATTAGTAATTTTTTTAATTTTTATTTTTGGAACTTCATGGCTAAGAATGAATAATAATTCTTCATAATTAACAAATCGACAACTACAAACTGTACGTACGGGGTGGCCTGTTTATTATGGAATGATCGTATCTCAGAATCTGTAAAAAATCTAAGAAAAACGTAGAAACAAAAGTTGTTTGGATTCACTTATATTTTTCAAATATAATCTTGCTATATGTACAGGGTGTTTTAATATTCGTGGAGAAGTATTACAACTTTTTTATTGTAAATAGACTATTCTATATATTAAGGAATTTTTGAATTTCTCGGAACTTTTCAGACATGTTTTATACGTGATAACGACATCTAAGTCTTTCTGAATATTATGTCAAACGTGACGTTTGCAGGTCTAATTATATCTATCGATTTCAATAGAGGTTTCGATGTTCCACGCACCATTTTAGTTAGTTAATAAGGTCAGTTAATAGAGTTAAATTATATTATTATTATTATAGGAAAAAATTACATATATTGCAAACGTAATTCTTGATATAAAATGTTAAA